CTGTCTCTTATACAACATCTAAGCTTGATCAACCAGTAGCCGAACATTTCAATTTAGCTGGTCATTCAATTTCAAATTTCAGAGTGATTGCAATTGACCATAATGCCAATTGGAGCGACAAAAATCGCAAAGACAAAGAGAGTCACTGGGAACTTTTACTTAAAACCACCACACCATTTGGACTCAATATTAGGAAAGTTCTCCCAGTACACTAAATTAAACCTATGGCATTCCAAATTCTTCTGGATAAATCATTTGGCTTATTTATTGAGGCACGCCTCTAAAGTTTAGTTTTGGCCTTCCTGTTTACTTGTTTAGGCTGTTTATTCTAATCCCACCTAGCCTAGCCTATTGTATCTAATCATGCTTGCATGAAATTCTCACTTTATACTATCTGGCTTTTTCAACCCTCACTCACTCGCCACTGAAGAAGGACTAGTGTTGTCCGAAAGCTCTGGTTCTATTTCTGGCTGTTTACTTACGTATTCAAATCTTGAGAGTGCCATTTCCGGTCATCTATAGGTGACGTAATCTGAATTCTTTTTACCACAGCCACAACCACAGTGGGGCTGAAGTGTCTATCTGTGAGGTCCTTCTCTAGGACCCTCCCTTTGAATTTCTGAATCCACCACTGCAAGGACCACACCATCTGTGCGAAGTTCAGTGAAAATCCTGGATCTACGCTTGACTTCAACTAACATATATCTATGTTAATTTAGTTCTAACAGTATAAGAAAATAATTAACACAAGTTTTAAAATATGTTTTGCTTTGATTTAAATCTTTGGTTGATGACCTTTTACCTCTGTGACATAATTAACCGTGTAACGATACATCATTCTTTTTAAGAAATGATAAGGGTTGTACTATTCTACAATTTATTAATAATAACAAAATATATTCAGTTGGTAAAAAGTTGCATAAATATTACACACTTCCCCCCACCCCACCCTCCAAATTAATCTTAATGCATTAATTGACACCCCATACTCTGGCAGTTAGTTCATATTTAGGTATCACAATTGCAAAAATATATTAATTTGATAATATATGATAATAGAGCAACCACCTATTTATAGCCAGTTAAAAGTTTTTCATTCATATAAAAATCCAATGGTGAATTCATAATATAGACACCATGCACACATTACATATTTTTGGAACCATAACTTAGCAGTGACTGCAGCTAAGATGTGATAATTTTATCTATACATGTATTTTAACATATGATTTACTTCTGCTAACTTATATTTATGTTATTTCAGTTTTAATGAGATATCACAAGTTTTAAAATATATTTTGGCTTAAATTTAATGTTGATTTTTGGTTGATGACCTTTTGACCTCCTATGACATAATTAACAATGTAATTACATTTTTCCATATACCAAATGATAGGAAAATTATTATTCTACACTTTGATAGTAAAACAAAAAAATATATTCAGTTGGTAAAACATTGTGAGCATAAATGTTATCCCACTCCATGTCAATCACCAAATTCTAATGTTGTTTCTATATTGATGATAGTTTACAGGCACTGACAACCAGAAATAGGTTGGGCAACAAAGCATTTTCTGAAGCAAAAAAAGCTAACTAAAAAAATGACAACAGGTATAAAGCAGAAGATGCACCTTTTTGTTTGCTAAGCCCCTGGACTACCATTACTAGTTCCTTTATTACCTGAATATACGAGGTTAAGTTGTTTGCACTATAAGAATTGGAGCTTGATTACATTTACAACAAGATTGGAGTTTCGTTTTCGCATTATTGCATCCGCCTTTCACAGGGCAGAGGCGGATGTTTGACCTCAAGAGACCACACATTGTTATTACTTTACTTATTATACTTTTGTTTTTAAATCCTTTTTAGTTGTTGCTAAGCACATAGAGGCAGTTTCTAGCAACATACGGTATATAAATAGCAATTTATTATTATTACTATTAGTGTAGTGTTTGTTTACTAGTTTTTATCTTACTTGTATTCATTTCTATTATTTAATTATTCATTTGTTTTATTTTTATATTTTTTTCCATAATAAAATAGTCAAAGACTATGAATTTGGAGTGTATTCGTTTTTAATAGACATCTCAGTTTCTTTTCCATGCCGCAAAACTAAAACTTTCTAAAGGATGACCCCAGACCCCCCATTTAAAACTTGTCCACTCTAGAACCCCATTTGTGTGACAGTCAAGGTGTCTACCCATTGGTACTGACTTCCACAAGACTATTGATAATACAGCAGTAAAACATTCGTATGTCAAGTTACTTTTTGTCAGATTCTCGAGGGAGCGCCAATTTCCAGGAGATTTCCAGGATTTGTGGGAGACTTGAAACCCTTGCCCTTACATAGCATTTGCCATATTTGGCGCCAATAATATAACATATGTACGGAAGCCCGTTAGTGTCACCAGTGAATTAAAATTTCAGATCCATTATCTGGCGGCCGCCACTTAATTATCTGGCGGCCGCCACTTAATTATCGGCCGCCACTTAATTATCTGGCGGCCGCCACTTATTTATGGGTACCCAGGTTGCGGTATAGCATTATCTTGATGTAGAACAGGCCATTAAAGCGCATGATTGGCCTAGCATTTAATATACGGTAGCATTTAGCCTAGCTATTCATTTTAGCTACAGCTTGTAATAGCTTATAGGCCTAATAGCAGTCATATAGCCATTCACAAAATATATCTATATCTTTGCTGTAGCACATCAACTGTATTTATGTTCTATTTTGCTCTTTATGTGAGTGTGATATTGTCTGTTATAGCTGGGTTAAATATTAAAGGGCATTAAATAGTGATTAAAAGCATACAATTAGCTGGTCACCAGCTATACCTTATAATGGCAGTCATATAGCACCCATTTCAAAAACTGTTAGCAATTACATGGTTAAGTATTAAATAGCGATTAAAAGCATGTTCGTAGCTGTTATACAATAGCTATAGCTTTTTTTAATGTTTCATCCATGCTGCTGTCTTATCTTGACGGTAGCCTACTGACAAAAGGCTACATTTCTCCCTCGACATTTGGGTTCCTGAAAGGAAGAAAAAGGAAAAGAATAATTTGATCTAAAGCTAGGCAAACTAGGCCTACGGTACTAAAATTGGGACCACTAGCATTACCGTAGGTACATTAATTAATCCCGACCCGGTCGTAGTCGGATTCCTCTGAGCGTATCGAGAGCGCCCAGGCGCTCCCGGCCTCTATTGAGGGCGCTCCGGGCGTCTCTGGTTTCTCCGGGCGTCACCGGGTGCTTTTTAGTAGGACCGTCTAAATCATGTGTTACAGTAAATCATCATATAAAACATAGAAGCAAAGATATACAATTATCAATCAAGCTAAAGTCAAGCCATGTTGTGTATCGTCTTTACACTGTAATCAATCAACATTCATAGTTAAAATTGTATCCATGTATTACTTAAAACAATACTGTACATTAATATCCACTCACCAGTTCATGGCAAATGTATAAGAGACAGGTATAACCAAGTTTGGTACAGTATAATAATCTATAAAGGTAACATTATAAATAATACATGATAATAACATAACCAATAAATAGTAAACAATAAAGAGCGCCACCTACAGGCAGCCATAATAAAAAGCGCCACCAATGGTTAGCTTTTCTTATTAAATCTTATCACTAATGAGGCCAACTTAACTACATCAAAAATATCTAATACTGTAATACTTCAGATTGCCTACATTATGTAATTGTAAAATAACATAGTAATTCTGTAGAACTCAATTCTAGAACAGTTTCAGTATATGACACTGTATCTGACCAAATGATTATAAAGTCAATGATTATTAAATCTATAGTAATCAAAAGGTGTCTGATCAAGCTAAACTAACTTCAATAGTTAACATAATAAAAACTTAATCATAGGAACAATTCCAGACACTGCATAATGATCATAAAAGTAATCTGGTTAATTACTACTTAATGGTAATTACAAAACACACTGTACTTCTAAACAATAGCTCAGTATGATAGTTATTATGTCTAAGCATACTATAATTTACATATACTCAAATAAATGTCATATATAATAGATATAATAAGTGTAATTACTTACAGTTCTATATAAAAAGCTTTGAATTTACGAAGACATCAGATTAAGATTCTATATATGTCTGCTCTCAACAATGGCTTGGAACAAAGAGACAGATAAAAGCTACTTGGCTTGGCTTCTCAAGCACTCCTTCCCATTGGACATTCCAATGGGATATACCACTTAAGGATGTTCCATTAATTAGGGTAATTAATAAAATTAACAATGTGCCTAAAATCATGAACCATAACATTACTATTTTTATTTACGTGTATTTAATAATCAGCTATAGTACACAAAATATACAAGAGGCAGCCAAAGGCTCAGATGAATGTATTTACGAAAATATAAAAATATCTAAATACAATATGCAAAACTCCAAAAAAAAAAATTAATAAAAAAAAAATTTAAAATATCACATTAAAAAAATTACTAAACTTAAAAAACACTAACAATTTCTTCAAAATATAAAAAAAAAATAAATACATAAAATTTGAATTACTTCCAACATTACTAAAACAAAAAACAAATATTCGCGTAATGTTAAACCACAGAAAAAACTTTAAAAAATACATTACAATAAATTTTATTTTTTTTAAATCATATATATAAAATAATAAATTAACAAATTTAATTATTGTTAAAAATATTTAATAATTAATAATTATGATATAAATAATTATAAAAAATTTAAATAATTTATTAATAATTAATATTTATTTAATAATTAATAATACCAGTAAATTTATAATTATGCTAAAAATAATTAATAATTATTTAATAATAATTAATAATAATAATTAATAATAATAAATTAATAATTATGTTAACAATTATTAATGTTTATTGGTCCATACCTGAGAGCATTCAAACTGTTAATATTCTCGTAGAGCAAATAGCAGAAGTGGCCAACAGTGAAGGCATGATACCAGTTGTGGTAAGGGGTAAGGGGGGTCGTGGTACCCCTTCTTCACTATCAGAAAGAAGTTTGTTAAGGTTCTCTTATCTATTCTGTAGCTATGCAATAGGCCCATGTCATCAAACATACTCAAACAAACCTATATTAAAGTGTAGAATAAAATATTTTATTTACAATTTTTACCAAAATTGATGGGTTCGATTCCCACCCGAACCACTTGCAAGATTTTTTTCACAAGCATTTGGGAACATACTGAGCATTGAGAACTATAACACCTCAGGTAGGGAAAATTTTGATTTGTAATGAACTCCAATAAAACTTCATAAATTATTGGTTTGTGTTCCATTGGAATGAGATTTTATACAATATGAGCCAAGTTGGTTTCACATCATTAACTGGTCACATTTAATGATAATCGTCTGATACTTAATGTGGGTTCACACTAAACTATGGCGAAATAAATTAAGTGGGTCATCCACATGATCTGGCTAAAATTTCCATATGAACGCTAAATTATGAGGAAATGAAGGAAAGTAGCTGTACAACTGTCATCTAGATGTATCATTTAGACTAACTTCTTAATCCATAATTTAAAAAAAAAAATGGGTGCCTCCGACCAAATTTTATGCCCATCCCTGCTTTGGATACTTAGATATATTCCTCTAGGGGGTTAATTGGTGTTGCAAAAGATAGTGTGCATCAGATAAAAGAGGAAGAATAAAGGGTGCTTTAATATTATCATGGTGATAAATAATCCTCAAATAATTTAGTATGATATTCTTTCCACAAAATATACCCAGAGGTGACGGAACTAGGGGGTGCTGTGTTATGGAGAGTAATGTGTGACTGGAAATGGTCTGCAGTCGGTTGTTACCATGCGCCAGTGATGTTGGAGTATATAGTACAGCAATATGAAACTATTATGTAGGCCTAATGAATGAATAAAGTTCGGAGTTTGTCGGGTAGTGAAATGATTATTTCACATTTTAAGTGCTCCCTAAATTCATAAGTGTAAGCTAAATTACGGTGATTAAATTAAAAAATGAATATTTTCTATTATAACCAAAATATTAATAACTACAAAGATTCTGGGCGTAAATTCCCTTCATATGAATGAAGGGTTGCTCAATCTGCTTGCCATACAAATTACAGCTCCCACTGACGTCTCAGTCGAGAAATACGGGTAGCTGAAGTTTTTCTCGCAAATCTGACTACAAAACCATATCCAAATTTCACGTTCCACTTTTGACCCTGAGTTGTGCTTCGCACTCGCCGCTGAGGGCGGTGTTCCGGGAAACCTGCGTCAAGCAATATGTATAAAAATTTAAAACATAAAAAATATTAATATTCATAGAAGTTGCAGAAACAATAAT